AATTTTAATAAGAAACTTACGCATAAGTCAATTGCATAGAGATCTGGACTTAGAGATCTATCTACAAGCAGAACACCAGAGGCTTCTATTTCTGTTGCTTTGACGAGGGATACTAAGCTTTTTGAAAGAATAGCTCCTTCTACATATCGTGTACGAGCTCCCTATAGGAAGGATCCAGATGATGCCGAGGACTTGCTTTCAGTAGCCAGAAAGAAGATTCAGGTATTCCAGAATGGGTTTTTGGCTGGAGAAGATGCTGATGATGTTGAAAGAGACGAAGAATCTGAATGTGATGATGTTGATGAAGATCCTGAAGTTGATGATGGAGCGACGACATCTTTGATGAATGAAGATGTTAGCAAAGGAGATGCTAACCTGAGAGTTGAGAATGAAAACTCATGTCATGATATTGATGGAAATCCACAAAATGAGATTGCCAAAAATATACCATCGTCTCCCCTAAGTGGCTCCAAGGACACAAAATATTTAAATATACCTACAGAGCAACATGCTGCTGTTGATGGGACTACTGTTACTGATCTTGATCAAGAAAATATGGAGATTGATGAGAGCAAGGAAGGTGAATCATGGATTCAAGGACTTACAGAAGGTGAATATCATGATCTTAGTGTTGAGGAGCGGTTGAATGCCCTTATTGCCTTAACCAGCATCGCAAATGAAGGAAACTCAATTCGCCTTGTTCTTGAGGTAGTGTCACATCCAGTGTTGTATATGGAATTTATTCATGATATTTATTGGAGAATTTTGATTTTAATAATAATGGTTATATAGGATCGCTTGGAAGCCGCGAATGCTGTTAAGAAGCAAATGTTGGCTGAGGCTCAGATTGATAAATCTCGCCTGAAAGAAGAAATCATTACTAAATCAGATTTTCCAATTCACATTGTGAGCAAGGTGGAAACTGAACTCAATGGTTCCGCTATGGAGGATGGCCAAAGCCCTTTTCCTGTTGCTGACAATCAGAACAATGAAACAACCCTTTGCACTGCAGAAAACCTTGGTAGTGTGCCTAATGAGAGGGCTACTTTAGTGCCAGATTTTTTCCCAGTCCCAGATAACTTTTTGGCTCAACAATGTGGACATGCTTCAAAGAGGTCACGTTCACAGTTAAAATCTTATATTGCCCACAGAGCAGAAGAAATGTACACTTACAGGTCCTTGCCTCTAGGTCGAGATCGTAGGCGTAATCGATACTGGCAATTTGTTGCATCTTCTTCAAGCAATGATCCTGGTTCTGGGAGAATCTTTGTAGAAATGTATGATGGAAAATGGATGCTTATTGATTCTGAAGAGGTAGACATTTTGTTTTTTGTGGTGCTTAGTTTATCTTATATGAGGTCCTGTTTTTAAAGCATCTTTTTCCCATTTTTATTTAGAGGTGGACATACATTGCATACCCACTGTGTATTCAAAGCAATTAGTTGTTTCATACGTGCTTTTATCTTTTCTTTGTCATTTGATCAGATTAATCAATGCCAAAAAAAAAAGAAAAAAAAAGTAACTTGCCATCTAGTTTTGATTGTCGGGGTACTCTGAAATTTTTCCGTAGATGTACCGTATACCAGGTTTTGAGAGAAGGTTCTTTGTATTTTTATGTAGTAGTTAGGCATATGCTTTAGAACTTTTTCTTATAAGATTCTTTTTATCCATATAACTATATGTAACCTATTGCATCTCTCAAACAGCTGAATTTGGTGGTCAACCCTTTGTGTCTAGATTCCGACTTGCATTTTTTTACCTTTGCAATTAATTGGTCTCTCTTATTTGTAGGGCTTTGATGCTCTTTCAATGGCTTTGGACACACGTGGGGTTAGAGAATCACACCTACGCATAATGTTGCAAATGATAGAGACATCATTCAAGGAAAATGTTAGGAGGAATCTTCAGTGTGTCAATGTGATGGTTCAAAGTCGAATTACTCCTAAAAATGAAAACGATGAATCAAGCTCTAGTCCTGATTGCAATGCCAGTTTTAACAGTCCTAGCAGCACTGTTTGCGGTTTAAATTTGGATACAACGATAACATCATCTTCATTTAGAATTGAGCTCGGGAGAAATGAAAATGAAAAGAAGGCTGCATTTAAAAGGTATCAAGACTTGCAGAGGTGGATGTTAAGAGAGTGCTTTAGCACATCAACATTATGTGCCATGGAGTTTGGAGAAAAAAGGTGCACGCCGCTGTTGGACATTTGCGATTCTTGTCTGTGCTTGTTTGATTCTCAACATTCTCACTGCTCTTCGTGCCATCAAACTTATGGCACTAGTGAGAACGATACTAATTTTCTGGAACACGAATGTCACTGTACGAGGGAAAGGAAGTCTTACCATTGGGATACACATGCATTAGATGCATCTCTTCCCCTCAAAAGTAGATTGCTCAAGGCCCTCTTAGCTTTCATTGAGGTAAGAAATAACCATTAAGGCCATTTTCAACAGAATTCCTATTTCATTTTTAGATTTGGAGGCTCATGCCTGCACTTTAAGCTGCCTTGACCTCTACATTAGGAGTTTCTTTTTCACAGGTACATGTTCCTTCAGAAGCTTTTCAATTATTTTGGACAGAACATAGGAAAGATTGGGGTGTCAGGATGAAATTATCTTCAACTATTGAGGAGCTACTACAGGTATTTCTACGTTTTCAAGTGCTGAGCTTATATAAAGTTGTTATAAACCTCCAACCCTGGATCTTTTAAACTGTTGGGTATCTGTTTTATCCATAAACCCTCGTCCTCATATATCTGGGTTACTGACCGTCTTCCTCGCCTACTTCTCTCAACAGTTATTTGTTTTAACACTTGCTTGAACTAGCAGGAACTTGTTTTGTCGTTGCCAAGTTTTCCTTTTGATATCATTTAGATGCTTGAAATCGGTAGTTGATTGATTCTTCATTACTACACATGCCTTCTTATTATTGGTGCTGTTTGGCAAAAGAATGTGAATGCTCATGTAATACCTAGCCAGTGAACTTGGGAGTTAATATTTAATTTCTAGTTACATAGTTAATATGTATATTGCCGTATGCATCCCTGCTGTGTTCTAATATTTGTTCATCTTGTATCTGTATTTGAATCCAGAATCTGTTCATATCAAATCTGCTAATTGTTTCTAGATTTTTTGTTCTCACTATTCTTCGAATGGATGAAGCTTTAACCATTTATTTTGCTGAATTTTACAGATTTTGACCCTGTTTGAAAGTGTAATTAAGCGAGACTTCCTAAAATCAGACTTCACTACAACAGACGAACACCTGAGCTCATGTTCCATCTCTAGGAATGTTATACATGACGCAGCAGATATTGGGTCTGTTCTGACATTACCATGGATTCCACGGACTAGCGCAGCTGTTGCTTTAAGGCTTTGTGAGATAGATGTATCAATTTATTATATCGGGTGTGAGAAACCAGAGCCTGACCAGTATAAGGAAATCGGAGAACATGTAGTAAGTCATCTCTTCTCTTATTGCTTCTTTATTGCAGACGTTATAGTATCTATCATGAAATAAGTTGATACATGTTCTTTTTGTGTGCCTTGTTGCGGAAAGTGTATTATCATCCTTCGAAACTGATGACTTGTCTCTCTGCAGAACTTTCCCAGTAGATTTGTCCAGATTAAGAATGAAAACGAACTGGACTATGATGGTCTAATGAAGCAAGAAAACTTGGCTGATCCAAAAAGTTTAAGGAACAGCTACAAACGTGGTGGTCGAAGGAGTCGAGATCATGGACGTCGTAAAAGGTGGCAGAAAAAAGTTAATGGTTCCAAACCTAGCCGTGTTCGGCCAAATGTGAAGAGTAATGAGAAGATGAATGAAGAACAGCGGGAACTGGGGCAAGGAATGCAGGTTTTGGGGGTACGAGGTCCCCGTACTGTAAGGAAGCGAAGGGCTGAGAATAGCATTCCAGATGAAGGATTGTTGGGGCTGGTGCCTAGTAGTAGTACTCAGAATATAGATGAATCTCCAAAAGACTATATTGGGGAATGGGAGGATGAAAAAATGGATAGGTTCGTGGATATGGAAGATGATGAGAATGTGATGGAAGATGGAGAGAACGAAGAGGATGAAGAGAATGTAAACAACGTAGAACCAATGGACTCGGACGAGGATGCTCAGGAAGTTGGATATGAGCAAGGGAGTTGGGAGTATGGTATTGACAATGGCACCTCCAACAGATGGAATGGTGATTTAGGGGTGGCTAGTGATGAGGAGGATGTGGAGTTATCTGAGGACTACAATGGCACTGAAGAGGGGGGAAATGATTTTGGGGAGGAAGAGTTAGATGATGATACGAGCGTGGAGTCGGATTGTTCACCAAATAGGATAGGCAATAACGGTGGAAGAGAATCCCCTGTTTCCGACGATTATAGTGATTAAATACCGAGAGACACTTGAGAAAAGCTGCGTAGTTTTGAATACCCTTCACTAGCGGCTGAGTTTGTACAGGGGAAACAAAATAGAGCAGTATCCCCAAATATATTATAGTTTTAGAACCCCCTCGAGGGGCGGGCACCATGACTGGCATTACCTACAGGATCCCTACTCTAATTTATTGGTGGAAAATCAAGCGTTGTATCATTCCCTCTTAGAGTAACTATTTGATAATAAAAAAAAAATTGTAAAGTTATAGTTGTGGATACATGATGGTTCTACTAGGGGAAAACCATATAGCTCTTGTTTACATTGTAGAATCCTCGAAATTTTATAAGGCTCTGTTTTATTACTAACAAGTATTCTCTCTGTTTTATTGTTGGGATTCTTATCGGGATGCCATTTCATGGCAAGTTTCCTGTAAGCCTTCTTCAAATCATCGTCTTTGTCACTCTTATTTACCTGCAAAATCTTACAATAATCTTCACCCATGTGTTTCTCAACCTTTTCTGTTGTTCTGAGAGCCGTTGGGGCATAGAACAGTGGCAGACAGGGATGGGTCGGGAAGAACAAGAAGACTGGAAACTTCCAGGTGGAATTAGATGATTGATTTGGCCACTCTTGGGAAGCAAAGCTAATCGATCGAAGCTAAGCCATTAGCCCAACACCCAATTCTCCTGTTTTCGATCTCTCCCGTCTCCAATTTTGTCGGCGATTTCTCCATCTCTAATCCTTTTCAAATGGAAGAATCGCCGTGGCCACAAAAGCTTCAAGTCCTGACCCACATTCTGCTCTGCCCCACCACTGCGCCGCCGCTCGCTTCTCAATATTTCGTCGCTACCAAAATCCCCTGTTACCTCAATTGGGATTACCCCCCTCTCCTCTGCCCTAAACCTTCAATTTTCCCCTTTCCCTCTCTTCACCTTCAATGGGGTTTCTCTCTCTTCCTCAAAAGACTCTCCCGATTCGCCCTCCCTAAAACCTCCTGGCGATCCAAATGCCCTTTTCAACACCCTCCGCCACTGATTCTCGCTAAAGGCGTCGATCCCGCTCAGTGGGGCGATGAACAGAGGAGAACCTACGTGAGAATGAGGCTCAGAAGAAAGCGTCTGGGTAGCGATGTTCATCCCTTAATCCCAATTATAATTCCCAATATGTTGTTGTTTTCCCTTCTGCTATGGAATCCATTATCTTCCACTGATTGATAAATTATTGTACAACTCAGAAATTCTGGTCTAAATCCATTATTGTGGGCACTTATTTTGATTGATCGGCTCTTCTGGGTCGGATTCAGACTTCAAATTTGGGAAGAACTCATTAATGGGTGAAGGTAGAGTAGAGTAAATAGTGGTTATGAAAGCGATGGAGGAAACCAGATATAAAATGAGTGAAAATAAAGGATATTCCATTAATGCGAGTGGGTGGAAAGTAATTGAGGCTGAGAAATGTGGAAGAACAGAAACAATAATCGGGGAAGACAACAAAATGAATTCCGTAGAAATTTGGTCTCACGTTCTCGGCAGTATATAATCGCAACTGTGCACAGAAATAATTGGACTAAAAAACACAGAAAAGCTTTTAATTGGAGCTGCCATGGCGGAAGTACAAGGGCGGGCATAGTGATACTATAAATTCAATTAATTGTTTATTCAAATATTATTTTATCTTAATTACTTTACCCTTAGTTTCTTGTTTCACTTTATTCCTTATTTTCCCAACAAGAAACGCGCCCATATCAAACATTACATATTATTTAATGTCTATTAATTTCCAAACAACATCATTTTTATTATTAAAAAAAATTGCTGAATAAAATCACTCTCCGCTAATCACGCAGTGTGAGATTAATAGCTGTAATAAACTACTTAATTATATAATTAACAACTTTACCCAGTGTTATACTAATTTAAATTGGCATTAAACTCATAAACGCATTGGTTTCTCCACACCCTTATAAGAACCTACGATGAACTCAATATAAACATGTCTGTTAGGAAGACGTTTCCACACCAGAAATACAACACTGTTTGGTGTCAGGATTTGATACAATTTGGTTACAATTTTTTTTTTTGTAGTTCATAACATAATTTGGACTAATGCTTTGTTCACTGCGTCTGAAAAATCATTAGACACACAAATTTATTTTTAGAATACTAAAATTTAATTAAAAAAAATGGTAGAAAAACTAAGCCCACCCTGTGTTTTATTAATATTAAACAATCACAGGCATAATTTGAGGAGAAGGTGGAAAGAAAAATACAAAGTCACAAAATTTGTTGAGAATGAAACTTCGATTTACAAAGATATTGAGAAATTAGCGTTGAAATGGTGAAGAGAAGCGACCATAGTGAGCGGCATGGCATGTAAATGCGTGTGGTGGGTGTTGAAAAGGTCAATTTTTTAGGTGGTGGCCGCGGGAGTTTTGGGGCTATTATGCAACGCCAGTCGCGCAAGGCAAAGCGGGCCACGCCTACAGTCTGTTTGACAAATGACAGGGCCACCCATCCTACTCCTCTTCTGAATATGCCTTCAAATCCCACATGATCCTTCCACTAAATGCCATTCTTTTCCTTTGTCCCGCCCACTCCCACATTCCCGAATGCACAGTTTCTATCCCTAACATTTTTATATCTATCTCGATAATTAATGAGTTCTATTCAAATTTGACGATCGATAAAATAGTCAAAATTTAATCTAACACGTACCCGCCTCAATTTTAGGTACAGTTAATGGTCGTTGTGGCACAAAAATGAATGCTTTTTTAGTTATAGCTCCATTATTCAGATTCTAACATATTTTCAACACCCACCATCAATTGCTTGTACCCACTTTCCCCTCTAAAGAAGCCTATACAAATTATTTTTCCATCTTCATTTAAAATATACATTAATTGAGATACACAAAAGTCTAATGCTCTTTCTTCCCTCTAATTATTCATTTCAACTTTTGCTTTCAAGCGTAGCAAAAAGGAAATTACCCCACGGTTTAATAATTCTGTTTCCTTGATTTCATTTTTTTGTTTAAGTGTCTTACACGGCATAACTCAATCAATTAGATTGGGAAATCAATCTTTTCTTGATTATTAATCAAAGAATATTTGTACAAAGAAAAAAAAATTGCAACAATTCGAATCTTTAACATTTTGATAGAAAATTAAAGGTAATAAGTCCTAAAGGGTAACCAACACAACTATTTGAAATTTGACCATACGCACATGGACCTACTGAGTAGAACTGTGAAAGACATATTTGGAAAGGAGGTCTATAAAATAATGTCGCCTATCCCAACACTCCATCACTATACACACATCAACAGCCAAAGCTCTTATCTTCTTGATTTCAAGGGCAGAGGCATTCATGGCTTCCTCAACCAAGCTCCTTTCTCTTTTTCTTCTCAGTCTTTTCTTCATTCAAATCCATGGCAGAGAAAGCAACTTCTTCAGCAAAGTACCCAACAACAATGGCGAATCCCAAATCCCCAACAAAGTCGACCCTTTAACAAACTCAGAAAAAACCACCACCCCACAAGATCAAGACCCCAATTTTATCCCTCAAACCCAAGACAACGGCTATGGTCTCTACGGTCACGAATCCGGCCAATTCTCTCCTTCCGACGCTAAATTCTCCGATCCCAACGCTAGAACCGGCGGCCGACCATTTTCTACCACCACTACCTACGATGACGGCGAGAACAACTACAAAAGAAACGATGACGTTTCTTACAAATCTGAGTCAGAGGAGTACTACAACTACAACAACAATTACAACAACGACAATTTCCAAAACAGCAACTGGAAAAAACCGTACGAGAATTCGTTTTACTACAACAAGGATCTTTACGACAATCGACGACAAAGCTTCCAAAACACGCGCCTTTCTCGAAATGAATACGCAACAACAACAACAACAACTCCTTCATACGACGAGGAAAAATACAACGACGACAACAACAACAACAATTTCTACGCCAACAACCGCAACGACAATGAGAACAACGTGGCGCGACAAGGGATGAGCGACACGAGATTCATGGAGAACGGAAAGTACTTTTATGACCTCCACAGGGAGCCTCAGCATCAAAGCAGGTCGAGCAGAAATAATTTCAGAAACAACAACAACTACAACACGTACGAATATGGTAATTCCATGGGAAGGTATCAGAATGATGAGACAGAATTCCAAGAGGAATCCGATGAGTTCGTGCCATAAATGTCCGTCACCACTACTAAATTATCAAAATTATATATTTACTTGTGCATGGGAGTGTATGAACTGACTTCATATTTAATTCTGTTTCGTTCTCAAGCAAAGATCATATATAAATGTGGTAGCTTCTTCGTCTTTTGTTTTCTGGGTCTGCAAGAAATATATATATTTGATATACAAATGTTTTCCTTTCCATTATATCAATGCTAAGATCATACAAATTTAAACTAGAAACAGATACTTTGGGAAGGAGTTATTTAATTGAGTCATATGATACAATGAATGCATGTGGCCAAAATTGCAAAGTAATTTACAAGAAAACTTGATATGGGTTTGGTGGCCCATATTGCTCTACAAACACCTACTCAGAATTAAGGAGTGCCATAAATAAGTAGATAAGGAGACGATATCCGTGACTCCATTTTCGTCTTTTTTAAAAAACTGTTTGTATTCGCACAGATCAGATCAAATCATCATGTCTTTCTGTGAATCCTTTCGCCTACGAGGGAGATGAAAATTCACCAAAACCCCATTAAATGGGGCTGGGTTTTATTTGCCCAATTTGGAGAACATGGTGGCGGAAGGTGAGTGATAACTTCAGTGGGGCCGCCGGACAGGTACGGCGGTGGTCCATTATGGGCTCTTTTGGAAACAATAAAGTGAATTACCAAACATGTCCTTGATCACTATCCTAATAGAGCGTAGGTGATAGGTGGCCCAATACTAAAGGCCCATACTCTCAAATGAAATGGGCTGGAAACAGCCCAAAAGACACTGGGCCGAAAATATTATGATCCATGTGATGTTGTAAGCCTAACAAACTAATTTATGAGGAAGTCCCACGTGGCAGGCAATGTGAAAGTGATGAGCAACAAAATAATTATAGAATTAGCCCATCATTTTCCACCCCTACCTTCACCCTATGCTTCAAGCAAATTAGATGTTGACGTTATTATATGGATTGGAGTCTCCGGTCAATGCCAAGTCTTAATTTCATTAATTTCCCCTACTAAAGTAGATGATTCAATTTATATTTCTAAGATGCTTTGAATTTCCACTTTAGGAATTTCCTTGGAAAAATGTAGAAAATGTCCGGGATTCATTCAATATTACCGTAACCAAATTGATTTTTCAAACATAATCTATTTTTAAACTTTGATAAAAAATAAAAAGTAAAAACAGAATAATTATTGAAGGCATGAATGAAGAACTACTTGTTCAGGTGCATTTACTATTTCTGTGTGTTTGTGGCCTTTTAGACGCAATAGAATAAATGAGAGAGAGAGAGAGAGAGAGAGAGAGAGAGGCATACCCATTGGCATATACGAAGATTATGTGAACTTTGGTACCGAAATCAAGCCTGATTGTGATGTGTGACCGAGAATAAACTAACCCATTTTTCTTCACCAAATGGCTAATCCCTTCTTGAATCTGCAGAAGCCCCTCGTAATTATCACCTCTTCCTTCAGATTCGAATCCCCCAATTCATATAAAACCCTAAACCCCTCTGCAAATCCCCCAATTCATTTCCTACATCTTCCTTTTGCGTTCCGATTTCCAGAGCCGAAACCCATGGTTTCAGAGGTTAACCGACTGAACCACTAACATTGCTTCTTTAGCTTGGCTTTGTGGCTTTGATTTTGATGCTAATTTTGTAGGATCGAGACATGATCAATGGTTGGCCACTGGGACTCGAGGTTATGAACACCAGAGTTCGAATGGCAGACTCACAGAGGTTACCGCCCACGGATCCCTTCCCTACTTCGCACATTCCTTCAAGGAGTTTCTCCTCTTTGTCTTCCTCTGAACTCGACACCATGGTTCGTAAACTTATGATCTGCATTTCTTTTTTCAAATTAGAGTCGATGAACTTTCCATGATTGCAGCCAAACAGACCTCGTAATTAATTTATCTTTGACATTTACCTCTGTTTTGGCTTCTTCTCTTCCTGGTGTTGACAGTCCACGGCTTCGTTCTTCCAAGACCACAGCGTATCTCTCGGCCGGCTCATCGGAATAAGGCCGGGCGACAAGACGTGGTTGTACCTCCCGACGGACGAGAATGCGTGTGTATCGGTAAATTCCGCAAGCTTAGATACGAGGAAAACGAAGAGCGCTGAAATATCAGGCCGAATCTGCATTCCGATTCTGATCGGTATCATGTTGAAGATGATCAGAAGTCGAAGAAATTCGAGAAGTTGAAGAAGGAAACGAGATGAAGTGAAATTGGGCGAACGTAATTACAAATTGCGTCAGTTGTTTTTCTTTGCGAGTTTTGGAACATTGTTGATGGAAGACGTGGTTATAGGAAATCTGGAACTTCGTTGCTTGCTTCTGAATTCAATTTATCTGAAGAATCTGAATCAAAATTGAAAAGCGTTTAAGCTTTCCTTTTCCCGATCACTTTCCTGAGAAACAAACAGAAACGAGATACCCAGATTTAATCCAAAAGAATCTGGATTTAGTGTCAAGAATAAAGATTAAATTTAATTAAATAAAATTTTAAAATATGTTTATAATTTTGTGAAATTATAATATTATTTAATTAATTTCATAATATCACAGCAATAGTAAAGAACAATTGAAAGTAAAAATTATAGAAATAAAAATGATTGAAGGGTTAATTAATCCAAGGGTTTAATAGTAATTATATACCTCGGCATCCAAATATCTGTACGTACGGTACAGGCGCATACACACGGGTGCAAAACGCATGAGGCCTTAAACCTCCAGAAAACCCCCAACAAAGAGCTTTCAGAATTCCTTTGCCAAACCAGGAACCATGTCCTCCGCCGCTGCCATGGCTGCTAGGTCAGCCCCCAACAAAGAGTTTCGATGGAACTTCTATGCTATTTCGATTTTGTTATGCGTCTGATGAATTTGTGTTGCGAAGGTTTCCTGTTGAGGTGAGTTGCCGTGTGGAATCGTTGCTTCCTTACCACTCTGCTACTGCCTCTGCATTGTTTACGTCTATGCTTTGCATCTCTTGTAGGAGCTACGGTTGGACCCCTGAAGGTATTTCCTAGATATTATAGCCTAAACTTTCTATTAAATACCTGATTGCTTTTTCTTTTTTTTCTTTTTTATTTTATTTTATTGATCGAGTGTTCCTTCTTGTGCTACTTGGCTTTAGCTCTGTGTGTTGGTGATTCTACGTCCCGTTAATGGATAATAAGTTAGTTGGTTCTTATGGTTCTCTGTGTGTTGGGGTTATATTTAGGTGCATTAAAAAGTGCGGTTGCGTTTTTGGTGTTCATTGAAATTTTGAAAGAACATTTTTGTTCGTCCGGCTGTGAATTTATTGTTCACATTTTCATCGGCCCATCTTTTACTCGCTTGTTATATATTAAGCTTTTCTTCTTTGGTATTACCGTCTAGTCATTGTCTGGATTTTTAACCAACATAGTTTAAAGGGCTCAATCTTGATTGTTTATTCAGGCTGTTGAATTAATATTATACCATAATAATGAGAATAGCTTTGTAGGTCAAGTTAGCTCTGAATTTATTTTTCTTTGCTCATTGATGGCATTAATTTTAGTAACATGACAAGATGCTATTGATTTCTTCTACCACTCAGATTGCATTGATGATGTATGATGAATGTCGATGGTTCAAGCACTTGCCCTCTAAAGACAATATGCTGAAATAAAGTCATGTATTGCTTGTTTTTCATGCCCAAGTAGTTCAGTGACATTGAGTTAGTAGGAAGAAACAAGCTCATAACTGGGTTTGTGTAGGTTGATATTCATGTTGGTGAGGCAAAATTTTGTTAAAATTCTCACTACCGATGACAGTTACCATCCTTGAGTTGTCCCTACTGAATGTTCTTTCTCTTGAAGTTTTTGGGACTTTACATGAGTTCATATCCATTCATTATTACTTTCTATAAAATGGTGTTATTACATCATAGTCACCCCTGAAAAGTGAAACTACTACATTTGTGTTTATGTTGTAGATTCTTGAATGATGAATGCTCTGCTATTGAGCAGGACTTACCTAAGGTAATCAATTCTAGGTTAGCATCCAAGTCTTCCTCCTATAACTAAAAGAATCATTATAAAGTATGATACAAACGTTCACAACATTGAAATTTTAATGTGGCATGCACAAATGGATCCAATAGATTACAGAGTGCAGTTGAAATGAGTCATACTGCTAGGAGAATTCAAAGGGGAATAGGTTTTGGGTTTGTAAAACATATAGATGGTCCTAAGCTGGTAACTTCTTGAAACATAATTTCATGTAGCTAGTTTACAGGTATCTTGAACTATATCAAAGAATGGGTTTACATTTTTAGAAATGAATTTATTGGGCCTTTAGCTGTTCCTATGACCGATACCTTGTGGCCATTACTTTTCATGATGGTCTTTATATTCATTGAAATATGCTGCCAGCCTCCCTTTAGTTCCATCCCCATCTTCAATCTCATTGTCTAAAGTAGGTTTCATACAATTTCAACAATGTAACCTTGCATCCATCGTCGATCTTTTCCCCCTTGTATATCTAATTCAACATGTTTCTTTCTCTAGGATCGTGAGAGATTGCTCATTGCTGAACTTAGCGACTTACTCATTTCCAAGCAGGAGGATAACTATGTACATGTTTGTTCATCATGATGTTTTAGGTATAAAAATTGAAGTTTAGAATAGTTGGCTGTGCCGTTTCTTAGACAATGTTTATAATCTATCTACATTTCCCCTTTTTGCTGTACTGTAGGTGGATGATTACTGCGTGTTGAGATGCAGTTCATCGATCATAGTAACTGTAAGATTTTCTTTTATTTTTTTTAATTTTTTATTAAGATGATACGTAACTTTGGTGGCCCTCTATTTTGAGTATTTAAGAGCTAAAAATAGAAAATTGTAAAAGCTGTTAATGATGATCTATTTTTGTCATTCTAAAAATAGAAATCAGTCTTAGTTTGATTTTTGTTTTTGGAACAAATTTTTTTTTTATTATTGTTCGTAATTTTTAGAACAATGAAAAAGAAAAGTCGACTCAGATTTAACGTAGAAAATACTTTTTAATGGTTAAAAGCGGAGGACCTCTCACTTGGAGAAAGATGAGCAATATCTAAATTAATTGAATTTTATTTAATTAAAAAAAAATGATAAAAACGCTTTTTTTTTCTTTCTTTCGACAAGCCCTTGTACTTCTAAAATATCTACAACTTAAAAAAAATAATTAATATAGGTGAATTTATGGCAAATTGTTAAAGTATCTAATTTTATTTTAAGTGGGGATTGAGATTGTGAATGGGTCGAAGAAGATAATTAATCCATCCCCATAAGAGTAAGGAACAATATCAATTTTTGTGGACAGATAATATTTATTAGTTGTGAGTTTGAGCCGTTATAAACTCTAATTGGCTTACACAATATCTACTAGCTTGTAACAGGTAACAAGCTGATACAATATTTACTAATGATGAGTTGCTCTCACGGAAACCATGTTGTTATAAGCCCCATAGAAGCCGTGCTAATTAGCTGACACAAAGGTAATCTACTGATTTGTAATAGATAATTGACACAATTAGGTAACGGACACAATATCTACTATTTACTGATTTGTAATAGATAACTGAAATAATATCTACGGATGATGAGTTCCATGCATTTGTAATAGGTAAACTGACTCAACATCTACTTACGATGAGTCCAATGGTGGGGTGGGAAGAGTTGGTGGCCAAAAATGGTTTGATGGTTTGATTTCATAAACGCAAAGCCTTCGGCTTAGGCCTTACCTTACGTTAACCCCTCAACTTCAAATCCAATCTGAGGAGGAAAAGGTCAAATCGATTCCACCGAACTAACGGCTTTAATTCTTTTATTTCCCTCCTCTTCTTTTTTTATTTTGTTTTATTTTTTTATTTTTCCTTTTTTCTTCGTTTCCATCGATCCTTCAATCATTCACTCATTCATTCGATTCATTTCATCCATTTCGAATCACCTTCTTACGCTTCCTTCTCTTTCTTCTCTACGCCTACCTCCGGAAGCCGGTCTCGTCTCCCCACCTCTCTTTCGCATTCGAATTTCCTCAAATGGATTCCGATTTCTGGACCTCTCGCCTCGCCGCCGCCAAACGCCACTATATGTGGCAGCATCACCATCCCAACTCCCATTTAGGTTTTCCTTCGCTTCTCCTTTTATTTTCTCATCTATGCGTTTGTTTTTTGTTTTTTGTTCTTCTTTTCCGCTGTGGAATCGTTGTTTCTTACCCCCTCTTTTGTTCTTCTTCTTTGTTATTTGTTCATTTGGTTTTCTTCAGATCTATTGGGAATCGATGATTTGGAGATGGATGATGACGCCCGCCCCCATTTTCCCTGCCCTTTTTGCTATGAGAATTTTGATGTTATGTCCCTTTGTTCGCATCTGGAAGACGAGCACTCTTGCGAGACAAGAGTCACGGTACGTATTTTCCCTTCTTATTTCATCGCGCCTACCAATTTTATATGCTATTCACCTACGACACGAGTGCTGGTTTTTTTTTTTTTTTTTTTCCCTCGATACTATTTTTTTTAGTTGGTTCGTTCATTTACTATTCTGTCCATCGCTGCTGATAGCTGCTCCTCAATTCATTCTCTTGTTTCATGTTTTTCATTTCGAGCCGCTACAGGATGACATGAAATTTATGGATTTTGAGATTGGAGAAATGCTTTCCAATCTAATTCATGAGAGGTTCTAGCAATTGTTGTTTAGGACATTCTGCGGTTATAATTCTTTCTGCCACTGCCAGTCTGCCAATCGTTGGGAGTAGGGTCTTCCATTTGATTGTCCAAAAGTCGGCTCGCTTGTAATATTATTTTTCTCCTTACCCATTATTTGATGAGATCCCCAAAGTAATAGAACGGAACTATGAGGAGAAATGAACTTGTTCCGCGTCTTCTTTTTTACAAGTTCTCTCTCTGTTTCTTGTGCTTCTCTTTCTCTGCTCTTCCAGGTTATTGTATTGTTTTATAAGAAACTGGGCTTCTGCTTAATTTGCATTTTCCTTGCAGGTTTGTCCTATATGCTCAGTTAAGGTCATGGGGGACATGTTAAGTCATATAACGTTGCACCATGGGCACTTATATAAGATATCCTTTATACTTTATACTTGTTTTGTCTGACTACCACCATTACTATGCCCATCTTGTTTGCTTAACAGAGGGGATCACCTTCAGAGACGTCGCAGGTTGCGTAAAATTGCCATCCCCAACAGTCAGGCGTTGTCCCTCTTGAGCCGGGATCTTCGTGAGGCCCATCTGCAGATGCTTTTAGGGAACAGTGGGTACCGTACAGGGACCACTAATGCGCCTAGTGCAACTCATGATCCGTTTCTATCATCACTTATTTTAAATTATCCTGCCTCTGAAGTTGAGGATATCTCAAAATCCATGCTAACCAGTGCCGAAGAGACGTCTTCAGAGAATGTGGCACCTTTGCCTATTTGGAAATCGAGGTACTTGTTCACCTTTGCCTATTTAGAATAATGGATTTCTCTCTTAATGTTACTTCTCAAGCCATTAGTGTGTTTGTTCATCGTAAGGGGTTTGGTTAGATCAGGAAACTGTTATGCTTTTCACAATTACCTTATATGCCATGAATGAAAAGTCTCTATGCTTTAAACCAATTCAAGTAACTTCCACGGCCTTTACAAGTACTCATCTCCGGTGCCAAGGTAAGAGAAATTTTCCTGATCACCATAATCAAGTAACAGAGATCTGCCTATTTTTTCATTGCGGGGAGGAATTAATGAAAGCCGCCACCCCCTTAGATTATCTCTTCCTGTTGTTTGGTATTAACACTACTGTACCTCTCTCCAGTTTTGATCCTTCTTTGAGCCAGGAAGAGCGGGAAGAAAGGATGAGACAAGCTATTGGGAGAGCAGGCTTTATGCGAGATATGCTTTTCTCGACCCTCTTAGATGACTAATGAAAGCAGTAAGTTGCTACAAAAATGATGCAAAATTGAACTAATAAATAGATGTTGAATTAATTACTTATGGGTTTGGTTCTTATCGCGTTAATTATTTGTTGTCGACCTACTCTTTTGATGATAACATCCTTCATTACAAAGCTGTGTGTTATTTGTTGATATTTTAATTGTGCTATATTGTGATTATGTTGCAAGAAGAATTTGAATGTAAAAATTTCAGAATAGTGAACGAGAAAAGGGGAGCCTTATGCTCATTGGCGCTCGAGGGTCTGCCGGCCAGGACCAGGAACCACACAAATACACCATACAAGGAGAAATTCGAGAGAAACTTCGATGGTCAACACAGTGTAAGAATCTCCGATTGAATGGCAACTATTGGGACTGGGACTGGGGCCTTCACTTCCAAGGAAATTATCAATGCTTTCTTTTCAAACCTTCTATTTTCATTATGACACAACAACTAGGTTGAACTATCATTTTGAAATCGATTCGATGCAATTTTATTATAGCGTGATATTGAATTGGACTTTGGGGTTATAATTGAGATCAAAGATATAATAATACCAATGATCATGGAAGGGAGCATTGCCTATGATGGTCACTGCCTTCATCCTTTTCAATTCATTTCAGATATATCATTACATTTTGGGTGCAAGCAACAAAGTGATTAAGAATGGGTTTTGAAATGGAAATTGAGCATTAAATTTAATGGAGTGCTAAGGTAAGAGAAAACGGACACGTGGGCTGCCATTTCAATTTTCAATATTTATTTGGATTTTATTTTTGTTTTAATAAGGTGATGGAAGATTTATTTGAGTTCTAATGTATTTAACGGATCCAAGTGCTATGCTAAATAATCATTTTATTTTTACAATGAACATACCACAACATTCAATTTTATTTATTTGTAATTTTGGTTGAGGATATGACGTGGAGAGAATTAAATTTGAAGGTAGTAAAGATTTTATTTTATTTATTTAAAAAAAAAAGGTAATAAATTGGGGCTGGAGGGCGTGAAATGAACTTGATGAGAAGGAGCGTGAGTGGGAACTGGTCGGAAATGGACCGCTTCAATGGCTCTAAAATATGATCCCACGAGTTATTTATTTATTTTATTATTATTATTTTATGTATGTAGGCATGTATTTATTTATTTATTATCTAAAAAAGAGAACGCGCTAATGGTGGAGTTTAAAATTAATTAATTAATTAATTAATCCTAAATCCTAGCTTAGGTAGGAGGCGAAATGGCAGAAGAATATGGCGACAACTTTTGCACCTGCCGCTCCATACCACACGGACCACTTTCTTCTTTATTATTCCTTTAAATTTTTTGGAAGTTTTAAAATATTTTGAATAAATACGTAAAATTAATTTTATTTCTTTTCATTTATTATTATTTTAAAAAAAGTTGGGTTAGTAGATGGGGGAGAAAGTGAAGAACAGTGGAGAGAAAGCGCGTGGTTGAGGGTAAAAGACAAACGTAAATCAAGTGTAATATAAAACGCGCCCTTCCCCGTGGATCTGCTGTATCGACAACCCCACATGACACATAATTCGGGAACTAGATTGCGAAATTACCAACCACACCCTTACGTCTAGCCGCCCCTTGCACAGTCAAACCTCTTTCTTCACTCTGCCTCTCTCTCTCCCTCCCTCTCAACACCCTTGGCCACATTTCATCACAATCAAATCCTCGCCGATTCATTCGCCGATTTCTCCACCCCTTCTATAAAACCCCACCATCACACGCCTACTCCTCGGCATCTCAACCCATTTGCCCCCTTTTCCCACCATCCTTCTCACCCACTACCCAACGAAGAAGCCCAATTCATTTTCTCGGGAATCAAACCGACCCATCTCCGCCCCTCTTTTCAATTCTTTCATTTGATCTGGATTTCCTCAGTAATGGCGCCGAGGGACAAGGCGGTTCCCGTCAAGCCCAACGTCGGTAACCTTAAGGAAGTGCATTTTCGAGGAGTCAGGAAGCGGCCATGGGGTAGATACGCCGCTGAGATCAGAGATCCCTGTAAGAAGAGCCGTGTTTGGCTCGGTACCTTCGATACGGCGGAGGAGGCCGCCCGAGCCTACGATAACGCCGCTAGAGGCTTCCGCGGCGCCAAGGCTAAGACCAATTTCCCCTTGCCTTCCGACGATCTTCTTAACCTTAACAATAAGATCAATAACAATAATCAGAGCCCGAGTCAGAGTAGTACGGTTGAGTCCTCTAGCCGGGAGCAAGCTCTGATGGTTGATTCCTCGCCTTTGAATCACAATCTCGGTCACGGTATTAGCGGACTCGCCGCCAACGGATCCATCACTTTTCCCTTCCAGCGCTACCAAATTCCCGTGATCCGTGATGCTTTATTAGCCCGCGCCATGCCGCCCTCCAACCACGTTCTATGTTTCGATGCCGCTCTTCGTGCCGGAGTAATCAAGAGCCATCCTCATCATCAAAACCAACGCCTACGTTTCGATCATCACCACGAAGCCGTGAGTAATTTCCGACGCGAGTTCGGCTGCGGCGGCGGGGTACAAAGCGACTCCGACTCCTCCTCTGTCGTGGACATGAACAGCCAGGACATGGAGCCCCGTAGAGGAGGAGGCGGCGTGGATTTCGATCTGAACTTCCCCCCGCCAGAATCCGCCTGAATTTTTTCCGTAACGAAGCTCGCACGATCGGCTGGGATTATTAATGATAAATTAGGTTATTTTTATAATAATCACTTTTCAAATGCTAAATATTACGACCGGAGAAGAAGATGATACGGCGATCATGTATAGGGAATCCGATCTCCTCATTTTTTTGCAGCAGAGAAAAAAACCAAAACTCTTATGGAGTTGTGTTCCTGCTGTTCCTGTTATCGAGGAATCATTTTGCAATTTACCTTTTTTTCATTGAATTAATTATCCTCTGGTTTGAACGAAATTAACGCCCATGATTCATACAAACCCCTCTTTCCATTCTTCTTAATTATCCTCTTCTCTGAAACTGAATTAAAACAAATTAACGTCCACGCCCAGAGAGAATATAAATAAATTAAAAGAAATAGAAAAAGTGGGGCCACCTACCTGCGTGGCGGCCGTCCAATGTCGTGTTTCTGTGTGAAACCTTCGAAGCCGGTTTTTACGCGCACGACGCTCTCTGTGATTGGGGGACCACACCGGAAGCTGACGTGGGGATGCGCGGCTGCCCATTCTTTTCCCTTGCATACACTTCATATTTATTGTATAAGGTTTATAAAAATAAATAACCAAAAATTTAGTGGAGCATTCAAAATATAAAAACCCCTCACCTTAGGAAAACGTCAAATTAAAACCAAATGTGGTATGAAGCAGACATGTTATTTCCACGTCAATAGTGGCGTGGACAATGTTCCCATTATTTCAACCACGTCTTTTCATTTTCTTTTCAAAATTCTTTAACATTGGTTATCAACGCAAACAGTCACATGCAAATTTATAACCGACAAAGACATTAATTAATGATATCATTTGATTAGTGTGGAAAAACCGTGGAGTTCCTGTTGAAAGCATTATAATTTGTTAACGAACCAGACAGAAAAATGTCAATTTATTTGTAAATTCTTTATTCTATTTTGAAAAGACGTGGGGTATTCACATTCAACCCAATGAAAAAGATTATATCAAACCTAAACTATTTCTAAAATATTCCCTATAACTTTAATTCAATGTTTCCTAATGTTAGTGGACATTTATATTTGTTTATATTTATTTTTGTGTCGAGTAAAGGCAAATTAACACAAAAATTTGTAATTTGGTATCACATAATACGAATTTAAATACAGAATTTGAGGCACGTGTTGGACAGAGACACACAGATGGTCACACCGGCAAGTTGGCGTGTCCGAACGGGACCGGGACCCACAACTTAAATTTAATTTATTTTTTTGTTCATATCATTCTTATATATGTTTCTGACGTCAGTATCTTCAAAATTTATATTACATAAAAAATATTATTATTATTTTGAGTCGGGAGTATTAATAATAATAATAATAATGAGTGGGTGGCGGCGGGTGGTGGGCCATGTGAGTGGGCCTGAGGCCCATGGGCGAAAAGGAGCGTGGACAACACGGGAGTAAAGAAAGCGAGTTAGGTGCGTGGAGAAAAGTATAGAGAGTTGGGATTTGTATCCAAATACATGAAATGGACCGATTTCATTACAACCCAAATGGCCCAAATCCATCCACTCATCTGCCACGTTGGCAAAGAAAAAGAAAAGAAAAAATATTGAAAAAAATATGAAGTAATATTTTGTAGGAGTTTCAATATAATTATTTATTTACCGGTTGATCATCTTTTTGGAAGTACCCGAAGAACCCCCGTTCTGCATTTTCCTCTTACTCGATTTCTGCCATTGAAAGTTCTAGGGAGAAGCTTTCCTTTGCAAACCCAGAACCAGGAAGTCGGAAGCTGGAGGCCCTAACTTTTGGATTTATCATTGCCGTCTTCCCAGTAGCTTCAATCTTCAATATGTAACTTCCTCTCTCTCCCTCTCGCTCTTTGACTGTATTTGGGGTGCGTCTTGAATCTCTTTAAAGTTAAAATGTTCGATTTTTAGCTATCAATTTGATTTATAGGGTTTCTTTTCCTGCATAATCATTGTTATCTTCTTCGAGTATTCTGCAATTCCAAGGCAGTGGATTGAGTAAAATTAAAATGTTTTTAGGCATAGCGAATAAAGTAAGGTAAAAGGTGCAGTGAGAAGAGGGTTATGCGCGGAATTTTTATCGAGCTTGAGTCAAGAGGACATGCCCAGGTTCCTCGAAAGAAGTAGGATTTTATGATCCTTCCTGCATTTTGTTATTGAATGAGTTGCTTAGCTATTCAATTCATTACAAAACGTTGGCTCCATTAATAAATTTCTATTACTTTGAGAAGTTGGTTATAGGTTTCTATTTCGACCTTCAGTTTGTTTCCCAACAAAACGTTGGATTGAGAAAATATTTATACTTCGAGGAGTTGGTAACATTTGGTTTTCTAGTTACGTTCATAATACGATTTGCCAATGAAGCCCATAGAAAAACATGAAATATTAGGAGGGACCAAGCATCACATTGTTCATCTCTCCCAAAGACCCTGGAAAATGGCACTCATGTAGACTCGCCGTAGAAACCTCTCCTTCTCATGAAACGAATCAACAAAGAAAGAAGTCCTTGACCATTCCTCTGCAACCCCTTTGCATACCCCTTGAAGAAGTAGCTCCAAACTGCATAAAGTAAATTGTAGCCATAAAGAATATAGCCAAGATCCACCGCTGCCTTCCCATAGAGAATGCAACACAACAACTCTATCAAATGGAAACTTCCTCGATATTCGATCTAAGAGTTTCCACCATTAAAATTCAAGTAGTTTGTCTGGGATAGAGAATTTTTGTTTTTTTTGGTTGTAATTTGTTAATAATTTTTAGGTCAACAGAAGAATGTAAAATTGGTTATTTGTTAGGAAAGAGTTTAGTTTTTGTGAGAAGAGCAAAGCTGTTAGATATGTATAGAGAGGTGAGACTGAAGGGCAGGTAATCAGTATATGGAAGCTAGGAAATTTTTATTTGGAGAAACATGTCGGTGACATCTTGAATTATTGTGAGCCTTACAACTTTAAACCAGTATCATGCCCTTTCATAACCCTCGTCACAATTCTTATTTGCTCAACTTTGATAGTGAGAGATAATCTCAACATAAATCTAAGAAGACTGCAAATCCAATAGCTCATTGAATTATGGATAGGTTTGGAAGCTAGATCAGTGGAGAATTTAGACAAGAGATTTGGGGGCTATTTGGGAGTTAAGTTTGTAACTGTTTATTTATTCTTATTTTTCCCAATAAAAATATGCCTGGATCATTATCTGTTTAAATTTGTGTTCCCCTATTTTGTTCTAATGGATGAGTTGTTTTTAAGAACAATTGAAGTTGTTAATTTGTTATGCCTATAAAAATATAGACTTGATGAACAGTCACTTCAAGTATACAACATCATGTTTAGAAGGAACAGGATTTGTTATCCCTATAAAAATAGTGCAAAGTATGGGCCGTGTTTTTCTGTACCATCCTTTTGCCTACGAGTTCTAGTTTACACTATTTTCAGCCTACAACTGGCATATGGTTCCTCCTGTTTTATGGAGGTTGTCCTTATCTATCTTTGATTCAAGTAAGAAGAGAGAACCTTCTAGTTACAACTTTATAAACCCTCGTTTTGGAAGTTATTTAGAAAGGGACAATTGAGCTTTCAATGATAAAGAAAAATGTATAGATTATTTCCTCGTCAATGTCTTTCTTGGAGGGCTATCATGGTGTAAAATGCATCCCTCTTTTGAAAGACTCCATTGAGATCACCACAGAGACAGTACTAAGTCTCGAAGCAAATTGGAATATTGAATATGAAGAAATTTTTTAAGAAACAATTTTCATGGTTATAAAATTGTAGAAAGAAGTTTATTCGTGTGAACAAGGCTTTAGTTGGGAATTTGTTAGATGATGAGCTTTATCTTTTCCTTATCTGTAGTCTTCTTGTTCTTAGTTCTTTAAAAATCATGTGAGAATTGTAACTAGGGTTTAAAAATCATGTGATAATCTGTCACCACTTAGAATTAGAATTGCAAGAGAGGATCACTTTGATCAATAGCTTTGAAGCAAATATGGAAACACGATTCTCCCTCCTACTTTTGTTAACTTTTGCCATTAACACAATTGAAAAATAACGCATAAATCCATTAGCACAAGTGAAAAACTTTAAAAAAGAATGCCTCACAGGACTATATTTCCAAATTGGTGCCCACTATGCAAGAAACACAACAAATCATAAAGCCATTTATTTATGCATTGCACATACGTGCAGAATTTTTGGATAAAGATTCTCAATGTCTTCGGATGACATCTCACTTTTCCTGAGGAGGTAAGAAAAATATTGGATATGACCTTAATGGATCACCCCTTCAAGAATGCAAAAGCCCTACTGTGGAAAAACTGCATCATTGCTTTCTTTTGGAATTTGTGGAATGAAAGAAATCAAAAAGTATTCACGGAAAGGACACAGACTTATACAAAAGTCTTTGACAATTCTGTTTACCATGCTTCTTTGCTTCTTATAGCCATACCTCCCAAGGTCTTTTCAAAACATCATGGATAATACATCCTTTTTGTATATTTCAAATATCATAAAATTCTCTTATAAAAAAAATGCTAAGGAAGTTTTGTAAGAAGAATAGTTCTTCCACGTTTCTCTATCAAGTTGTTGGAGTCTTTTGTGGAACTGTTTTTTTTTTTATTAGAAAGAAGTCTCTAAGAAGTTCACCAGTGACCAGCACCATTTCTTATTGGTTTTTTCGTGGCAGTACTCAAGAGCCTTTTTATTTTATTTTATATTTTTTAACTTTTAAAAATTCATCAGCTTTTGTATTCGAAACAAAAATTTATTTTGATTGATTTAGTGTTGAACATCATTTTTTTAACACCATTTTTAATCAGCTAGTTTTGAATTCTTTTTGGTTAGTTTTCTCATAGCCAGTTGTCACTTGATGTCTTGGCTTCTTACTACCACATGAGCGATCTTTTGTCCCATAGTTACTAAATATAAAATTATTTTCTTTTCTCTCATGGATGACTTTTTTTCTCTGCGTCTCAGTGTGTACCTTGTAGATGTTTGTAATGATATGGACGCCAAGAGGCATGACAAGCACTTGAGATCAGATACCATTACTACCACTGGAAATTCTGAAGTGAAAAAACTGTCCTCTGTAGGAGAAACTGAAAGTAATGGCAATATTGAATTTGCTCGTCTGTCAGGCGAGCCACTGACAAAATTGGTGGAGCAATCACATGGAGAGTGCACGAAAGTTGAATCAAGGAAGTGCCCAAAGGACAAGGAGACAGAAGATCAAGAACTTACTGTTGGTGATAAGGATGTTGAGGCTTTGAGAAATAACTTACCTAAAGATTCTGGTGGCTCAATTTATAACAGCAAGGTTCCATTGTGCAATAGGGGAATTATAAATGCCAAAGTCTCCAATGGGTTAAGTGTTACTGTAGAGGATTCTGATATTGGATTAGAAAATCACTTGGTTGGAGGGAATAATGGTAGTACGAATCCTGAGAGAGAAAGTACGCAAACGGACATGCAACTAGAGAATGGAAAAAACCAAATGGCATCAAGGTACTGACGATGGTGATTCAACAACTTCCTTCATTACTCATCAAAGTTCCATATTAACGATTGTGTTAAAAAAAGCTGCCATACAATCATCCTTTTTAGCTAAAAATTTCTAATACGTGGTGGTTGTTTTTTTTTCCTTGTCAAATGTCAAGGATAGTACTTGAAACAGCTCTTCCTAACAATTAGAATTTCCAGATCAGCTGCTTCAAAGAAGAGGACAAGAAAGTTGTCTCCTGGTGCTGATGTTAATATTGAACAAAAACGCCCTGCTGCAGCTATCTGTGACTTCTATGCTAAAGGCTGGTGCATAAAAGGTAGCTCATGTAGCTTTCTACATATAAAAGATAATGCACACGCTAGTGATCAGCATTCAGAGGAACATGCTGGTGCTGTATATTTGAAAAAACAAGTTCAGCCCAATCAAGGTGAGATAGAGTAATTTATGTATGCAGATGTCAGAAATTCCTTCTCTAGCACCGATTTCTAATAGTACTTTCAAATGACAGCAGGTTTGCAATACAGTGCAGATGCGTCAAAATCACCAGTTTTTCATCATCCACCAAATTCATCTCTCCTAAAGGACTCTTCACTTTCTCTGAAATTCGGCATTTCTTCGGAAAGAACTTTATCAAGGGACTTCACCGAAAGCAAAGGATGGGATGTGTTGCATGAGAAAAATAAGTTTTTATTGCATCAGAGGGAGGACTCACTTCTGAGGGAACATCCTGACTGCCAGAAATTACCTTCTACTGGTTTTGATGTGTCATTTCCCCTTAATAGAGAGGGTTCGACAGCAAGGAATGATCAACCTCCTGAGTTTGGACCCTCTTCAGGTGGCTTCGCAAAATTGAGTGTCATGGAGGAACCGGCTAATGTTGCATGCCCACGTTTATTGAACGATTACCATTCTCCAGTTTTGAGAAGTTCTTTGAATTCAAATACTACTCTTACAAAGGGTGGTATTTTATCATCGCGCTTCACTACCTCTAATGATTCTTTTCCTTTTACACCTTCCTCAAGTGCAAGCTTCTTTGGTGCTCAGAAGATGTCCATTATTGATGGAGAACATCGTGTTTCTATGCCGGCTTCCTCCTTCATGAGAAGTTCCCCATTTTCTCCCTCTGAATCAGATAATTCTTTAATCAATGCATCAATGAATTCTTCAGATTACAAAACAAAATATTCTTGTGACGATTGGGAACCATCTGAACCTTTTAGACCATCCTTTTTTATTCCTTCAATAAATACAGCAAGCCAGTATGATCCTTTCCTGGATAGCATTGAGTTACCGAGGAAAGTGGGTGGTTGTCATAATCCTTGGAGCTCAAAGCCGGAATTTAATGATGATACAAGTTCTTTGTCCTCTCACAATAAAGCTGAGGATAAGAATGAAAAAGCTGGCCATGTACAAGGCACGGATTCACTTATGTTAGAAGCAGAAATACAAGGATCTTCTGGTATTGATGGTTGCAATGGTTCTAGGACTAGAGAGGATGATCAAATTGGTCTCATCCGTGAAAAAAATGTCCCAAAAAAAATGAAAACGGATACTGATGGTGAAATAAAGCTTTCAAATATTGCATTGCATGAAAAGGAATCTGAAGCAGAGAGTGATAGACAACTTGGTGATATGGATGGTAAGCATCTCATTGATGGAAATGTGCACAAAGAATCAAAAGCAACTAGGCACTTTCGGTCTGCTCTCATTGAATTGGTGAAAGCAATTTTGAGACCGAAGTGGCGTGAGGGTCATCTGAAAAAGGATGTGCATAACACAGTTGTTAAGAAAACACTCGACAAGGTTCTAGGTACCCTACAACCTTTTCAAGTTCCAACTACAGTGGAATCAGTTAAGCAGTATCTTTCTTCATCTCGTCCAAAGATCGAGAAGCTTGTTGAGGTAGGTATCTTTATTAGAAAGATGAAATACTCTGAATGATGTATATCATGGGCTCTGGATAGAATCTTTGTGGTACTGACAATTATCGACATTTATATGCAGGGATATGTTAGTAAATATGGAAAATCTTGAGATGGAAGGCTAATGCATTCTCTCTTTGGTAAGTTTCCTAAGGATTCTACAATTTAGAAGCCTTGAAGAGTTTGTCAAAGGTTGTTTTACAATCTTGATTCTTGGAGACTTGACACTAGTTGTGATGGTTATTATTCGACACATTGTGATATTTTCTTTTCTTAAGCATGCGTTCTTCCCTCATTTTGTTCTGTTTAATTCTGATTGCAAGTTTTGTTCGAAAATAGTTCTTATCGTCATATAACCTGTAAATCTAGTGTTGATTGTAAATAATAAAGCCCATTCTTCACTTAGTCAGGTGAAATTCTTCTCTCCAATCAAACAAAATAATGGTAATAAACATCCACTTATTAGAAATTACTAAATTTCTAGTTCAACGATTTCCAACTTGATTGATTCTAGCTTTCACTAATTATTCTACTTCATGTAAGCAGTAGGGAATGGTGTTAATTTGTTTTAATTTACTCATTCTAGAAATCTGAGATTAAAAACTACAGATCAAGTCAACTTTTTGGTTTTAGGGAATGGTGTTTTCATTCTAATGATTTTTTTTTTCCCCTTCTCTCTTTCCTTTTTTCCTTTTAATTTAAGCCAATTGGTGGTACTTTTTGTAAGCTCCTTCAGTTTTGGGTCAACTTACGCCTTAGCTCCCCATATTTTGTATCTGTTTTTATTGGTTAATGAAGTCTCTTGTTTCTTATTGAAAAATAAAGATTGATAACTTTTTGTTCTTAGTTGTAGTGCTTCGGAGCCTGTGTTTAGAAAGTTAGCAAAGTAATCTCCTTACCGTTATTTTCCGTATCTAATTTCAGCTATGTTTTTCTTACTGATATGGACTTGCTGAAATTTTGAAGTGCATTTTGTCCGAGAGAAATTAAATATTATGTTTTCTCGTTGAAATATTATCTTTTAGTTCCTCAACTATGTATTGTTAATCATTCATTATTTTATAAAATCTCGATTGCTATGAAGCATAGGCTATAGAGACATGTACACATATGTACACATATGTACACATATGTACACATATACACATTTTGAAGAGAGAGAATGCACGAAGTTAATACAAAAGAGTAGAGCCCATCCAAAAGGAGCCAAAGGATGAGGGAAAAAACCACAAGAAAATTACAAAAAGGGGTCAAGTTCAAAAGGATGAGAGATAAAGGATAACCACTGAAGTTGCTCAGTGGCGGAAGCCCAGAAGGAGTCATTTAACCTAGCCAAAACCCGAACCTCCTCCTAGGGACTATCTTTATTACTAATGACTCTCCTATTTTTGCAAGCCAGATGTTCCATGAAGCTGCAAAGAAAGCTGCCTGCCTTAGAAACACACCCAAGGGTGTAATAACATCCTTTCCATCATAGTCCCGCACGATCTGCTGCGAGCCATCTTAGTTAAGAGTCCAAGATTCTAATTCTTAAAGTCACTGAAGCAAATTGACAATCCCATAAAACATGGTGTAGACTTTCTACAACCTCCTTGATGTTACTGTGGAAAATTTTTGTGGCAAAAAATTTGACCTTTGAGATCTGAAGCTTCCAAGGCTAGGGGAACAAAGACACTTGTAGGTTAAACCCACGCAAAAAAGAATAAAGAGCTACATGGCATGCTAGAACACCAAAAGCAAATATCTTTTACTCTTGGACGGGAGCAAAAGTTGGCCAGCGAAGACGACATGATGTAAATTTGGATCCCGCTCAACTGACTGAGAAGAAGGTTTTTTTCCTAGAGGCAAGATGCTTTGAAACCCTTTCAATCATTAGGTTCCAGGAGGAGGCACAATTAGACAATGATTAAAATAGCTTTTGTTAAATGATTTAATGAAAATTTTGTTAACTACAACTATTAAAATAGGTTTTTATGTAAAGTTTTTAGATTAAAATAGAATGTTGGAAAGTTTAGAGGTAAAAATAGAGTAAGCATGAAAGTTTAAGAGCTGAAGTTAGTTTTATGTATTTGTTTTTGCTTCAGTGTTCCATGGACCTATTAATTATTCAACTTAGTTCTACAATGTCCTGTGATGTTATTGATTGCGGTAGCTATGACGTGGCTTTTCTATTGCATCATAATAGATACGAATATCTGAGCCTGATGGCTTGCTCATCTTATTCTAAATTACTAAGTCATAAAGTTTTCGTTTTCTTCCTAAAGTAAATGGGAATAGCTTGGACGTTCTTTAGATGCAATTATCCCCAAATAGCTTCATTAATATCTTGGTTGGGGGATCTGGGGGAAAGGTGCCAGAACCATCCAGCCTCTTCACGCCCTGCTATCTCTCAGCAAAAAGGGGAACAACTGCAAAATGTTCATGAATGAAATCCACCCTCCCACTATGATGGACCTCCTATTAGTTAGGTTTATATAGAAATAAGAGAAGGGAAGTTGATGAGCACGTCATGTGAGTGAGGGTGTGAGCTTTATTAGGGTGTTGGACCCGGTTATTTGGAATGGGATTATTTTGTTAATAATACTATATACTCCGATTTAATGAGGGGGTATTTTTTGGCCAAGTGAGACGTGATATCAGGGAGTTCTCGAACTTTTCCTCGACCCCTGATAATCCCTTTGATTATCAATAGTAGAAAAGGTGGTTCTTTTCAAAACCAGATTTTGAAACAACTTAGACTCTCGATTCCCAGCTGGGAGAGACAAGTATGGAAGAGGTGAATAATGTGATATGCACCTGAAACTCTCAACCCACTCTAATCTCTTCTTTAAAGCAATTAATATTAGCTGCGATAGACTCAATCAATTGACACCTGAAGCTTTTTAAAAAACTATAGTCGATCTTGAACAGGTTAGAAATCAAGAGGCAATGTACATAGGGAATGGGAGAGTGCCATTCGTGAATTATAGATGATTAGCATAAAAGCCATTCCTACCTACCGCGATACCTTCCACAAAACCAGACTGAGACCCTTTCTTGAGCAGTCGGCTAAAGCAGTTCGCCATGAGCATACCTTGATGAATTTCCTCAGAAGATATATATTTCTCATTTCCTGCAATTGAATAAGAAAAGGAAATTATTATAAGAGATGCAGCTCCTGATCCACAATTTCTATCTAGAGAGAAAGCTCGTAGCCTTGAGAATGGCTAGAAGGAAATCCCAATCAACCCCGTCATAAGGTCTAGTTTAGAAGCCAGACCTTTCTCTTTTCTAGTCTTCACAATCTTGAAGAACCTCATAACCACAAATGTAGAACCAATAATTTGTCTCTAACCTACAAACTGCCAGAATCAATTATTTCTCTGACCAACAAAGCCGCCTGAATAAGGAAAGATTGTATGATTGTATCAGTCAAACAAGGCTTCAGCCTTTACATTAGAACTAAGCCTCAATCTTCTACCTCTAACTGACGTCTTTTAGGTTTGTTCCTGTGTAAGTGTTACCACTATTGTAATTGGATGTATAACCATCCCTTAAAAAGTCATATTAAGAGAAATATGGACTAAGGTTATTGCCTTGAACATGATTTATTCCATAGGTTGTCCAAATGTGTCTTTGAGTTTTAAGGAAATATTGGCTAAGGTCCTGCAGACATCCTATTTGATCCAGTGTATATTGTTCTCTATGGACGGGATCTATCTAGATGAACTCGAAACCAAAATTTATTAGAACTTTTCAATTTACGTTTTAATCAGTGCAAATCATTGAGTTCAATTGTTTTAAATATCACTATACTTTTAGCCTTTACATTGAAGAATGCTATTACATTTAGAGGACTGAATTGAAGGAATTGAATTGTTTGATTCAACATGTCATATATTTTAGACATCTGCCCTGAAAAAATCCTCGCCTGAGGACTTCATAACAAAGATTGAATTACGCCTTACCGGTTTATAAGCTCCATTGCTCAACAATGAATCGACTTCAGTGGCAAAAGGCTGTAGAATTAGGCAAGAGAGCATCGAATCAATGAGTTATTTCATGCCTTTTGGGCCTTGACTTTGCCTCTGTCGTGTACTTTTTCGCTTGCTTTATGGCATGTCACTTTGAAAGGGCATACAACAAAGAGGATTAGTTTGTTCCCATTTCACGGTTTGTTTTCTTGGTTTCCTTATAAACTGTATCCCTCCGTCTTATCTGTTGTTGCTACGATGAGTTTCTGTAAAATGAAATATTGAAACTGGGCACAGCTTTAACAGATACAAGTGCTTCTTTCAAGCATCTGGTACTGTAGATCAAAGAAACCGCTGGTGAGTTCTTGAAGTTCCCAGTCTCATTTGTTTATTACTCAACGGTGACCTGTTTCCTTTTAACAATTGAGATAGAATGGAAAACATCAATGTTAGGCTGCTCTGAATTATCACCCCATTTTTCACATTCATGAGCCACTTAAAAGTCTTTTAGCTAACTCCACCAGATAAAAGTTTCCCAAGTTCCCATCCATGAATTGGCTAGATTAAGAGCTCCATCGATTATGGCATGCCTTGAGCCTTGATGTATTATTTGAAGCATATAACCCAAGAAAAGATAAAAGAAAAGGTAAGAAGATCAACTGATATTATTATCATATTCTGCATTTTCTTTACTTGAGTTCGATCTTGAATGGCATGAACAACTGAAACAAAATCTGGGCCGTTGAACATCGAAGAACAAAGTCATTGCAGGGGGCCCCAGTCGTCCGGGAGAAATCGGACAAAACCAGTTTTTTAATAGCAGCTGAGATTCCACTTGTACAGCAACCCGTAACCTGCTCCTGTAACTATATAATATCTCGAGCAGATATTTTTTTTCCTTTCTGTCACCATTTTTACTCAGTCTTCATCCTTATCCATTTGCCTTCATTATATTTTAATTCCAGCTGATCATTTTTATATTGCCAGCTATGCTTCAAGTCTTCTAGTTTACGCTATCGAACCATTTCTTGGCTGTCAGTTTTTAAGGATAAATTGGGATAAAAGCTGACGAGTTTAGTTGGTGAAGTTTATATGGTCATATTCTTATTATGGACACTATGTTTCGTAAGTTTACGGTTAATTTTAAAATGTAACTCTCGATGGTTACCTTTAGCTCTAAGTTGTCTCGAGAAAGATAAAACTTTGAGGAATCTTTTATATTAGAAAAATGATGGGAAATAAAGACGAACTATACACACTTTGAGCCCTCAGAGCTCTATTTATATAACCCATATATGACTATGAAATTGGGTTCTAAGTAAGTGAGGGAGTGAACTCAACAAACATGGTTCTGCTTGAGAAGCTTTGGGATGATGTTGTGGCCGGACCTCAGCCTGACCGCGGCCTCGGCAAGCTCAGGAAGATCAAGCCCTTGGTCGTTAAAGGTAACCCTTTTTGTTCATTTTCTTTTTCTTTTGAATCTTGTTGATTGTTTTCGTTTAGTATAAATTCTTGTTGATTATTGTCACTTTTACTAGTAGTTGGCTGCTTGTTTTTATGATTTACATCAACTTGTAACTATGATGTTTTCGGGATGGGTTTAGATTTGGATGGTGAGGGAAGCAAACACCAGAGCCAGATGTCGCCGGCTACACCGGTGACACCTACAACGCCGTTTACGGCGGCGCGTAAGGATAATGTTTGGAGGAGCGTCTTCAACCCTGGTAGAAACTTTGCCACTAAGACTATTGGTGCTGAAGTCTTCGACAAGCCTCAACCCAACTCTCCGACTGTTTACGACTGGTGTGTACCGCCACTTTCCAACCTTTAAATTGGAGCATATGTATAATCCACGCGCCGATCTAACTGAAAAATACCTTTAAAAAAAAAAAAAAAAAATCTAGTAATGAAGAAATGAAATCGAAATCTGGGGGCATCTCGTCCTCCATATTCCCAACAGTTGATGGGGGATAAAAAGATTCCAAATTTTGATTCTTTGATATTCCGGAGTGAGATGATCTAAGCCGTTAGTTCGGTGGACCTTCATCATGGTCCGGACATCTTGGGGCTTGATTGGCTCTCTATTTTTGTCTACATCGATCAAAACTGATACTGTTACTTTGTGATTACAGGCTCTACAGCGGTGATACCAGAAGCGAGCACCGCTAAACAGTGGCGGTTGACTGGTGGTTACATGTAAATAGCGACGGAAAAGGCTCATGTTTGGTGATGTGAACCTGATGGGCTTATGATGTGTTTATGTATTTACGTGTCCTAACTAGGTTTTGGCATCTGAGCTGTCCAAGCAAGTTTTAGGTCCTTGTATGTCTGCTGACACGATCGATGGTCGGACTAGTCCGCCGTGCTCGGCGGTGATGGCGACTCATGATTGTTGTTTGAATAAAATGGTTTTCTACTTGCTATTAAATTTAATTAATCAGTTCAGAATGTATAATTCTGTTGATGTCCATTATTGTGATGAACCCTTTATTGTATCGTGTTATTGGGAACTTGGTAACGGAGTGGGCCCACCACCCCCAAAAAGATCTAGTGTGGGCCTACTGTATTTCCTTCTGGGGCCCACAAATGTAGTGGGTAACTGTTAGCTTTGGAAAAATCCAAAGAAATAATAAAATAAATAAACGATTTATGGATAAGGATAGAGTCTGAATCAATCAGCTAGGTAGGGATTAAATTGTTCAATCCACACCATAGGCTTCTGGAAAAAAAAAATTAGTACATTAAAGATCAATTTCAATGGGCTTTCGAATAGGACCAACCATAGATGTACTTTAAGTATTGCACCATCTCTGCGGAAAAATTACCAAAGAAATCAGATAAACAGAAAAACTCGCTTACAATGAATTATCCGGACTAGATCTGATCTGAATTGGGATAGATTTTAATTCAGAATCTGATCTGGGATAGATTTCAGAATAATCTGAATTGGAATAGATTTTAATTCAGAATCTGGTCTGGGATAGATTTCAGAATAATAATTAATGTTGATTTTATTTCAGAATCTAATCTGGGATAGATTTCATAATGATAATTAGTGTTTTATCCACGTCAATGTGAAAATTGCACTCCTAGGTGCATCAATTACAGATAAATGACATTGACTCCTAGGTGCATCAATTACAGATAAATGGGGAAAAGCAATAAGAAGAA